ACAAAACAAACTTCTTCTTTTTCGATCTTCGAGATGATCTTGATGAAGAATATTCAGATTTACAAATTGCTTTTGTTTATGGTGAACATGGCGATGGATATCCGTTTGACGGACCCGGTGGGGTCCTTTCGCATGCGTTTCAGCCGACCAACGGCCGAATGCATTTTGATGCATCCGAGGATTGGATAGTTGGTTCTCTTCCTCGTACAATTGATATAGTTAGTGTTGCGTTGCATGAAATTGGGCATCTTCTTGGACTTGGGCATACAAATATTCTGGATGCAATTATGTACCCTAATATCCGTTATGCTATGGTCAAGAGAACTTTACATCAAGATGATATCGATGGAATTAGAACTTTATATGGATCTTGATAGCAAGATCGACATATGGTACCAAATCGATTCGTTTTTCTTTTGTTTGGTTGACTCAAGGTTAGGTCATAAGTCTCCTCCTAAATTTATATTCGATACTCCACTTTGAATTTAAGCAATAATAGAATTTAGGGTTTGAGGAATAACATTATATGTTAGTTCAATTTGACTTAGCTACGATGTTCCATGCTTAACATTACAATATTATTCTTAAGCAAATTAAAAAAAAAAAAAATCGTTAATTTGATTATTGTTTCATGTTTAACATTACAACATTAGTTCTTATGCAGAATCGGAAAAATATTAGGAAAATGCTAAGTGTACATAATAAATTTAGACAATTGATGACATAATGTGATGTGGCAACCATCCAGTCGTTGATGTGAAAGTGTCAGGTTTGAATTAAAGGTGTTGATCAATGNACAAGTGTTCTACATCAAGAAATAGCGATTTTACATACAAAGTGAAAATGCTAAGTGTACATAATAAATGTACACAATGGATGACATAATGTGATGTGGCAACCATCATGTCGTTGATGTGAAAATGTCAGATTTGAATTAAAGGTGTTGAATAATGTTACTTGCAATTATGTAGATCATTATGTACTTGTAGTATCACTCAAAATATTATATTAATTATTTTTAAGAAAATATAATTACGATGAATTCAAGGGCATTTTTGACAGTACAAGGTTACATGCCTATTTTAATTCCTATTTATTTAACAACCTTAATAAATGTCAAATGGGAATGGCATGGGAGTTTGTAGGATGTCATAGTTAGAGATCTCACATCTGATAGGTTGTGCTCTTACTTTGGCGTATAGTGAGGACTATTTTAAGGCCTATGATTTGTTTAGGAAAAGTTACGTTAGGTGTAAATTTGGTATAGTGAGACGACCTTAGGATTTAGAGGTGTTCAATGGTTAGATAGGATGTTTAATCTGTTAGGGTTTACATTTCTATTTTTTATTTTCTGTTTTGAGGGATTATTTTCAGATTGCAGAAAAGACGTTTGGTTTTAAAATTTTAGAAATAGTTTTATGACATTTTTTATTAATTTGATTATTTAGCAAAACATATCAATTTTATGCTAATATGTGATTATTTAGTTTTTTTGTATTTGGGTAGGTTTTTTGAGATTTTATTAATTATTTTAATTTGAGAAATTTTTAAGTTTATTTTCCTTGTTTTGAGTTTTTTTAGTGTTTCCTTGTTTTCAAAAATGCATTTTTGAAAATAACATACCGAACATATTTTTGAGTGTTTTAGAAAACTAAAAATTGCCTCAAAACGGTAAACCAAAAGCACTCTTAATTTTTCAAGTTGGCTATGTTACAGGTTGTATTTCTTAGCCTTTATTTGTCGCGCTAAGCAATTTTAAGTCAAGTTGGCTTATATAGATAATTGTGTCGAGCTCTCGTTCCCAATCTCAAATATTCTCCTAAGATGTTTTATGGCATCTTCGTCCTCAAATTTCTCTCGGCTTGATCTAAGACCTTTGTTCACGAGCGTCTTGGCACAAATTACTAATGCACCACTCAGGCATATCGAATTCAGAGCATACCAATGACATTGAGACAAGATTTTTGCTCTTACATAAAATATAAGAGCGAGATTTAATTGACAATATTAAATTCTTTCGTCTTTTCATCTTACTAATGTGCCAGCCAAGCAATCCTCGTACGTTAAAAGCATGGTCTGCCATGTGATAGACTCTATGGTGCTCGGAAGTCAGCCATAGAGGCCAGGGTCTGCAACCAACACAGGTCGTATTAAAGAAGAAAATAAAAGACGATAAAAACTTATACAAAGTCCATAAACCTAGCCTAGTATGAGTCATACAGAGCTCGGGTAATTTTAGGTTACCGACCCAACATGGCTCAATTTACACCTCTATTCTAGGTGGCCGAGTTGGTGGAGCAGGTGAACGCGGAGACCAAAGGTCACGAATTCGAATATCCTGTCAACACTTCCTCGGTCGAGCCCGTCGCACCGAGCTTGCCTAGTGCGGTTTACCTCTCCTGTGTGGTTTGCGGATTACTGCACATGAAGTGGAATTTACCTAGTGCGCACTCACATTGGTCAGGCCTCTGCCCCATGGGGCGGTTGCGGGTTCCTACATCGTCGTCATAAAAAAAAAAGTAGAAAGAAAGTTATGCTGTGAGCAGTTATAGGTTCTATGCAGCTGACATAAAAACAAATGGATGGGATCAAAGAAATCCAAACAGGAAGGAATTCATTAAAGCAACACCACAAATTCAGATTGTGAGGAAGCTAAAATATCCTCAGTTGTCTATTCGTGGCCCACTAGTTTCCTCACTATACATTCAAAAAATCTTCAGTACAGCAAAAGAAAAAGAAGAAAACGCAGAATCTATAGCTTCGTTAGTACTTGTATCAAAAATTATTTCTTTGAAGATCATGGCTGCTCATTCTTCCTCGTCTTGGTATCATAAATTCCATTCCTCTACTCTTGCTTATTATTCGAATTCGAATTCGAATTATGAGTCGGGTTCTTGTTTTACTGCAAAAGCCGTTGGATATTCCAGCAGAAGAAACGGCCTTAGCATTACTGGAGGCCTCAGAATTCAAAATGCAGCAACAAACCCTGCAAAGTCACCAGGTATATGTTGTTACTATCTTCTTATTAAAATGAGAAATGCTATTCATCCCCACTGGGGATGCATCCCCAGTGCGTTAATGTGGCATTAAATGATAGGTGAAATTAAATAAGTCATTTAATTTCACCTATCATTTAACCAATCATTTACATCCACATAGACTGGAGATGTATCCCCACTGGGAATGAATAGAATTTTTCTATTAAAATTTACATCAATGTTACTCGATAAATAGTATCCGGCCACGTTCTTAGTGTTTCTTTCCTTTTCGAGGAATCAGCTGAAGAAGAATGGAAGATCAAACGGCAGCTTCTACTAGGGAAAAGGGTAACGAGTCCCTCTCTCTCTCTCTTATATGAAACCATACTCCTTAGGATTCCATTGAAAACGATAAAACCACGAAACAAATATTTTTTTCAAAAGAATAACGAAAATCAGATACAGGAGATTAGAAATGAAGATGTGGGTACTGTCTTCTGCCTACTTAGACATCATTTGGGATAATTAACAAGATGATCTTCTGCAGGTAAGGAGCGTGGATGCTAAGGAAGCATGTCGGCTTCAGAAGCAGAGTTCAAAGAGGTTACTGAAATGATAACAAATAACTGAAGCATGCCCTTAACACTACTACATTTGAAATGGTTAATTCTTAAATAGGCATTGTCTCATTTTGTGATTGTTTGATGGTGTAGGCACATCCTCCGGGTGCTATTAACGTGCAAATATATAGACTTATAAAAGAGTGGACGGCGTGGGATATAGCTAGATGAGCTGCATTCGCATTTTTTGGCATCTTTCCTGGAACAGAGGAGAATCCTGAGTTTATCCAAAGTGGGATTTATATAAATAATTGTTTCTTGTCCAGCCTCTACTCAAAATCTTTTTGTAATCATAGAGTTCTTTGGCTTGTGCAAGCAGATGTTGAGTCAAAAATAGATAAGAGTGCAAAGATAATTGTTGCCTGCTCGGCCGGTGGAACGATGAAGCCATCACAAAATTTCTCAGAAGGCCAACAGTCAAGGTTCTTCTCTGCTTCTGTTGCTGTTTTTGCGTGCTATTTATGATTTATGGCCATAAGAATTTCTTTGGGAAAAAAAATAAGATTTCTTATTTATTATTGCAATCAATCATTCTTGGTAGATGTAATATAAATTTAAATAGATAAATCCGTCCCCTCCCTCACGCTTAAGTTTATAGATGGGACTATTCTTCAACACGGTACAAGATAAAACAAATACTCTTAAGTTCAAGTCTCA